TGGTGCGGGGATGATCGTCCCCCTGGTGGCCTCCGAACTTGAACGTGATGGCAGTTGTGTGTATTTTCATTGTCCCCCTGGTCTGTCTGTCGGTCGGTCAGTATGTCTGTATGTCTGTCTGTCTGTCTGTCTGTCTGTCTGTCTGTCTGTCTGACTGTCTGTCTGTTCACAGGGTCCTGTCTGTCTGTAATTCTGTTTGTCTGTCTGTCAGTCTGTCTGTCTGTCTGACTGTCTGTCTGTCTGTTCACAGGGTCCTGTCTGTCTGTAATTCTGTTTGTCTGTCTGTCAGTCTGTCTGTGTTCCTGTCTGTCTGTCTGTCTGTTTGTCTGTCTGTCAGTCTGACTGTCAGTCTGTCTGTTCGTGTGTCTGTCAGTTAGTCTGTCTGTCTTTCAGTATGTCAATCAGTCTGTCTATCAGTCTGTCTGTGTGTCTATCAGTGTGTCAATCAGTCTGTCTATTGGTCTGTCTCTCTGTAGGTCTGTCTGGATGTGTGTCCCTGTGTTAGACTGTCGGTCTTTCTGTCTGTTGAACAAACAGTCTGTCTGTCTGTCTGTATGGATGACGTGCTCCCACACATGGCTCCCGAAATGGACCTGTCCAGCAGGTGGTGACAGTCTCTACAGGTAATCACCAAGGTCGATTGAGCTCATGAAGTAGCGGTGAGTGTTCAGAATTCTGCGAATCTCATCACACACCTCTCACCTGCCATACCCTCGCACTCCAGTTGTTGCCCCTATCTTATGTGTTGACACACACACACACACACACACACACACACACACACACACACACACACACACACACACACGTTGTTGGACGCCGCCCTGAAGTTGGCTACTGCGTGCCAGAATCTGCCAAACGATAACCCTTGCAACAGTGAATGGCCCGCAGTAGCCAACCTCGGCACAGAGGTCGAGACACACACGCGCACACACACACACACACACACACACACACACACACACACACACACAAACACACACACACACACACACACGCACACACATACACACAGACATGTCGATGACGTTTTTGTGCGTTTCCGCTGGCAGAGAGAAGAGGTCGAAAGACAAAACTTGTGCATCATGTCGATGTCGGTAGCAAAGGTGGCGAAGGCTTTCACAGAGGTGATGAAGTATGCAGAGGAGGGCTTCCACTACAACGGCCATGACGAGTTGTCTTTGTTGGAGGAGAGGGTGCCGGGGTACTTTGCTGTTAGCGTGGATATGAGATCCACGATTATGGCCGACGGCAGTGGTTGTGTGCAGGCACGAACACTCTTGGACCGATTGAGATAGTCACCTGATGTTCGTGTGGACAGCGACGCGGAAGACAGCCCATACAGTCTAAAAGGAGTTGTGCAGTGGATGTGCAGCGAAGGCATGTGCGACGAAGGACTTGTCGACATGACAATGCAGCAGAAAGGGGGGACCTATACACCTGTGGCTTTAAGGAAGTTTATGGTGAGTGTGGCGAAGGGATTGGACATGCTTGTTGAAGGGGCGAACGACGAGTTGAAGAGGGGTGCTGCAGAAATACTAGTGCTGTCCAGAATCAAGGACATGACACAAACACCGCCCCA